AACAAATGTTGACTTACATGGCTTTTATATTTCTTAAATAAAGCTGTGTACCTGGGCTCAGAAAAGGCAGTGCAGATGCTATTTTTGCATATAGTTTGTCCCTAAAAGCTTCATGTGCAGAAAGCTTGGTCCCCAGCATGGTGGTGTTGAGGTGGTAGAACCTTTAAGAGGAGGAGCCTAGTGGGAGGTATTCAGGTCAGGGGACTCCACTATATTGTAATGCAGACAGAACCCTCACCAGATGTCTCCCGTGCTGCTTGGACCCTCCAGGTAGCAGAATCATGAGCCAAACAGACCTCTTCACTTTGAGAGATACCCAGCCTCAAGTGTTTTGTCATAGCAACACAAAATGGGTTGATGATATATTATTGTTGTAAAACTGAATATTTAGAAATATTTGCTTAAAGGATTAGAAGACTGTCTTAGTTGTGAGTGCAGACAAGATCTGAATCCTGGCTACATCATTTACCACATAGGTCTCTGAGCATTTAATCTCCCTAAGCCTTAGTTTTTCACACCTCAAATGGGAATACATTACCAGCACCCACATCAGAGCTACTGCAAAGATGAAGGTCATGTACATAGTCTGCATACACATAGTGATGTTTTATGAAAGGTAGCAATCATCACCTGTCAAGTCTTCAAATGGAGAAGGGGTTACTTATATACTTTTTTATATTATAAATAGTCCAAAGAACCAGCTATGATTTTTTTCCTGAAAGAGGAATTAAAGAGGAAATAAAAATAATCTAATATAAACTGAGGACTAAGTCCTACACAAAGCTATAAAACAGGTAGAAATATCTTCTTTTTACAAATAAAAAAATTGAGCCAGAGAGAAGATTCTAAACAGCCTACTTTTCAAATACACAAGATTTACTCCCTGGAAGTCTTCAAAGTTGACACGCTGAGCCCTACTGAGCTGAAATAAAAGATGTACTGTGTAATTTGGGATTTTTGTTTTGCATTTCATATTTTAAATAATACATTTCATGGCATATAATCCATATGTCATAAAATTGACCCCTATAAAGTTTGTGATTTTTACATATTCATAATCTTTGCAGCCATTGCCATTATCTTAATTTACATTTCTACTGTTCCTGAAATAAGCTCCATGCCCATTAATAGTTATCCCCATTTCTCTCTCCTTCCAGTCCCTGGCAAACACTAATCTATTTTCTTTTTCCTATGGTTATTCCTATGATGGACATTTCAAATAAATGGGATCTTATAATATACGATCCTTTGTGACTGGATTTTTTCTTGTTAATGTTTTCAAAGTTCATCTCTCTGTATATTTATTACATTGTATTGTTCTACCACATTTTATTTATCCATTCATTAGCGGATGGGGATTTGAGTTTTTCCCATTTTACCTATTATGAATTTTGTGACAATGAATGTTCATGTGAAAAGTTTTGTTTTAACATACATTTTCTTTTCTTATTGGTGTACACCTAGAAATGGAATTTCTGGATCACCCTATGTTTGTCCTCTTAATAAACTGCGATATTTTCCAAAGTGACTGTACCATCTTATATCCCCACCAAAATGTATGAAGTGGTGGTCCAATTTTTCCATGTCCTTGTCAATATCTGTTATTGTCTGTAATTATGACAGACATGGCTGTCCTAGTAGGTGTGAAGTGATATTTTGTTGTTGTCATTGTTTTACTAACAGAAATAATTTTTCAGAGCATTTTAGGTTTACAGAAAAACTGTAGAAATACAGTTGCCGTATCTTCCCCATCCCCAACCTTTGCAGTTTCCCCTATTCTTAATATCTCATATTAGTATAATATATTTGCTACAATTAACGAGCCAATAGCATGCATTATTGTTGATTGAAATCCATAGTTTACAGTACAGTTCATTCTTTGAGCTGTGCAGTTCTGTGTTTTGACAAATGCGTAATTTCATATAGCAACCATTACAGTATCATTTAAGAATTATTTCACTACCCTAAAGACCTCTTGTGCTCCATCCACTTATTTCTTCCCCTTGGAAGGAAACCCTGATGTTTCTATACTCAGTGGTTTCACTTTTTCTCATACAGCATACAGTCCATTCAGAATGGCTTTTCAGTTAGCGATATACATTGAAGTTTCCTCCATGTCTTTTTTCTTTCTTTCTTTCTTTCTTTCTTTTTTTTTTTTTTTTTTTTTTTTTTTTTTTTTTTTGAGTGCTGGGGCTTTAACAAATGCCTTGCGTATGCTGGGTAAGCACTCTCCCATTCAACCACCCTCCCAGCCCTAGACAGTTAAAAAGACATTTTTATCACTGATGAATAGTCCATAGTATGGATGATGGGCATAACACAGACTTTTCATCCATTGCTCTATTGAGGCACATCTTGCTCACTGCCAAGTTTTGGCACTTAATAAAGCTGCTATAAACATTTATGTGAAGGTTTTTGCATGACATAAATTTTCAACTCATTTGCATAAATACCTGTGAGCACAATTGCTGGGTCATATGATAATGGGAAGTTAGTCTGCAAGACACTGCAAAGCTGTCTTTTAAAATGGCTGTAACAAAGGTAAACATGGCTGAACAAGGGCTAAACTACCTTTCTACTCCCACCAGCAAAGAGAGTTCCCATTGCCGTTTATCTTCACCAGCCTTGATGCTGCTAGTGGTTTGGATTTTAGCCATTCGAATAGATGTGTAGTGGTAACTCGTGTTGTGTCAGTGTACAGCCCCCTAATCACAAATCACGTGGAGAATCTTTTCTGTTGCTATTTCCCATCTGTATACCTTCTGAGGTGAGGTGTCTGTCAGATAGACCTTTTTTTTCCCTTTGTTTTCTCACTGTTGAGTTTTAAGAAGTTACTTAGATTTTCTTTTATGTTATTTTGCAGCAGTTTTGTAGTTTTGCATTTTACATTTAGGCCTATCTACAAAGCATTTTTAGTTCATTTTTGCAAAAGATGTAAATTTTGTGTCTAGGGTTATCTCACTCATGTTGTAATCCTTCTGTTGTTCTGGTACTATTTGTTGAAAAGAATACTATTTCTCCACTGAGTTGCCGCTGCTCCTTTGTCAAAGATCAGTTTTAGGGGCTGGGGATTTAGCTCAGCGGCAAAGCGCCTGCCTGGCAAGCGCAAGGTCATGAGTTCGGTTCCTGGTACTGGAGAAAAAAAAAAAAAAAGATCAGTTTTAATTAGATTCATGTGGGTCTGTTTCTTGACTCCCTGTTCCACTGCATTGATTTGTCTGTTATGTCACCAATGTCACAATGTCTTTATCACCAGAGCTCTGTAGTAAGTTCATCAGGTACTGCTAGTCCTGCAACCTCATTCTTTAGATTGACTTGGATATTCTAGGTCTTTTGCATTTCTACATAAATTTTAGGATAAATTTATTTACAGCCACAAAGTAACTTAATAGAATTGTGTGCAAACTGTAGATTAACTTGGAAAGAACTGACACCTTGACAATATTGAATCTCCCTGTTCCTAAACATGGAACTTAGATCCATTTATTTAGATCTTCTTTGATTTCTTCAGCATCTTGTAGTCTTCCTCATATAGATTTTATACATGTTTCATTTATTTGTACCTAAGTTTTTCCTTTTGTTAGTGTTGGTATAAATGATTTTTTTCTTCAAATTTCAGTTGTTCATTGCTGGGATACAGAAGGCAGTAGACTTTTTTTATATTGACATCGTACTCTACAAACTTGCTATAATCCCTTTCTAATTCTACATATTTTTTTTTTTTTTTGGTTTTTTTTGGTTTTTCTCCGGTACCGGGAACCGAACTCACGACCTTGCGCTTGCCAGGCAGGCGCTTTTGCCGCTGAGCTAAATCCCCAGCCCCAATTCTACATATTTTTTGTTGTTGTTGGAAGCACATTTTTTATGTATTTCTTAAATCAATAAGAATGGGAAGAAAACATCCATTAAACAACAAGCAAACTTGAACACTGATATATTGCAGACGGGTCACATAACCACCCAGAAGAGCAGAAGACAACTAACCTGAGTAACTTCTGTACATGTCTCTGACTGTCCTCTAAGTTAAGTGACAAAGAAGCAACACTGAAGGAATCGTGATGTCTTTTTAGAAGGTTTGTTTATGGTAGTTGTTTGGGTGAAACAGTGTGAAATTAATATAGGTACATGTTAAGTAGATAAATATACTGATGAATGTTGGAAGCCAGGTACTCACTGAAGTACAGACGGTAGAGCACAGTATTGTATCATTGTTAAATTTCCAGAAGTTGCTAACACTATTGTTATTTAAAGGAATCTTCTTGTTTTTGTTAAAAGTATACTTTGAATTATATAATTATAATTATATAAGGGTAATGAGTCATATGTTCAACTTACTCTCTAATGGTTCAGAGAGACAATTCACCTATACTATGAATCTACACATGGTTGCATTACTTTGTATGCTTGTGATAAAACAAATGAGGCCAAGTCAGTAATTGATGAATCTGTGTAACACATGTTGAGTTTCTTTATATTATTCTCATAACTTTTTGGTAAGCTTGGAATTCTTCCAAATAAATTATTTTTTAAAAGTTGGCATTCAGCACGCACAAAAATTTAAGGGTAAGCCGGGCATGGTTGTGCATGCCTGTAATCCCAGCACTTGGGGGGCTGAGGCAGGAGGATCGTTCCAAGTTTGAGGGAAGCCTAGGTTACAAAGTAAGCTCAAGGCCAGCCTGAACTGCATAGTGAGACCCTGTCTCAAAAAAACAAACAAACAAAAAAACCTTAAGGGTGATAAAGTAGATTTGTGTAAGCGGAAGGGATGGTAATGCCAAATATTGTGGAGGTCTGTCATATCAAAGGAAGATTAAAACTTTGAATTTCACTAATCTGCTGATAGCTTTCAAGTGTTCTGAAAGTCACAACCACAACATTGTTTATGGAAATGGTTTGCTGCAAGCCTTGAATCTCATCTAAATCTTCTTCTTTTTTTTTTTTAGATGAAGAGATTGGTCCCCAAGTCATAGTATGTAAGATAATGAAAGGTGTAATGTGTGTTTATATCAAAACCACACCACTTTTAATGAAAAAAATACTAAGATCCACACATTTGTACTTCTGTACAATTTGGAGTAATATATAATTTTAAGCTGTTTACAAATAACATGTAATGCTTCAAATATTACATAAGGTTGATAATACATTTCTAGCAGAAATAAATATATTGCACTTAAAAAGAACTTCATTAGATGTTACTTCATAGTATTAGGCTTATAACTTTTTTTCCATAAAACATTTCCCATGCCCAGCCCCCCACCCCTGACACACACACTGCATTATGGTGACCGTTCTCACACAATCTGTTAAGCAAATGAAGACACAGCAAACAAAAAAACTGTGACAGTCTACTAAAGAGGTTACATCCAATTTCAACCTTCTGGAAATTAAGGAACTCTTTTATGTTTCTGAAAATTAAAAAAAAAAACTAAATACAATATATGAGTGTACCAGAAGTAAAATACAACATATTGTACTTTTGTCCGGATGTATTATTTCACAAAAATGTTTTTATTTTCTTATTCCCAGGGTATTGTACTTATAAAAGGGTGGGGATTAAAATTATTCGAAGGACAGAGGGGAAAAAGCCAGAAAATACTTGTGGATTATGTGCCCACCAAATATTTATAAATGAATCTTTCTATATTTAAGCATGCTGAAGAAAGATAAGTGTTGGGGTATTTTATAGCTGGCATAGACTAATAAGCAGTGAAGAAAGAGTTTTATGATTTTCTATAGTTTTAAGAGTTCTTAGCCTTTCCTTTGCTGGCTTACAAAAAACTCCTTTCATTCTAAAGCAATATAAAAATTCATATAAAACCTGCCCTCCTCAGACACAGCTCTCTAGAGGAGCAAGCTGAAATCTCTCTAGTGCTCTGTCTAGATTTGGGGCATAGTATTGTTTTATTTTAATAACTATCAATCCCCTGCCCATTTAATAATGAAAATCATTTTCCTTATTTAGTCAATGGAAGATTGAATAAAAATAGTTCTCTTGCAATATGTTACCCTGTACATTACAGAACTGATTATTTCGAGTTTTAGTTACTGAGTCACTGCTAAGTTCATCGATGTATTTTTATTATTCAGTACTGGGCATTGAACCCATGACCTCACCAAGTGAGTCCCCAGCCCTTTTTATGTTTTGAGAAAGAGTGTCTTGTTCAGTTGCTCAGTTGTCCAGGCTGGGCTCAAACAGAGTGCTGAGACTACAAGCAAGCACCACCATACCTGGCTACATCTGTGATTTTAATGGGGGATGGTCATTCCATACACTGTGAAGGTGATTCTCCTCGATGTAATTCAGAGTTACATAAGTCAGCCTAAGAAGCTCATGTGTAGCTCAGCGATGAGGTAAATATCCTAACAGCTTTCTCACAGATCCATAAGCAGGGTGCGATGATGATACTTGACATCTAAGATTATTTCTTGATTTTGGGGGTTTGCGTGGGGGCCATTTTGGAGACACAAAATGACAGAGGTAGGGATCAAGGTGGAGGGAGGTAGATCTTGAAATGATCGTAGCTCCTACAAAGGGCTTTGGCTAGATGAGGAATCATCATCAGGAGGCTTCTTAACACCATGTACTCTGTGCCCACCTAATAGGACTGACGAGCCGTACAAACATTACACTTTTGCTATAAACTCAGAGAAGCCAGCAGCACAACACAAAGTGATGCATCTGCATTGCCTAATCCTTTGTGGTATCTTAGATGCACGCTAAGTACATTTACCTATGTACTGCTAAGGGTTACCAGCGGAGGAAGGAAGATTTACTAAATAATTAAAAAGAATCACTGAACTTGGAATTATTGATATTTTAAAATGAATCACAGATGCAGAACCTATTTAGTTATGAACTAATTCCTTAAAGTTCAGTGGGTCTGGCAGGTCCCCCTGTCTGTGGCAGCACCCCACATAGGCAGTATTTTTTGATACTGTAATAACCGTAGAGGGAAAACCCTGAGTTTACCCCAAATAACTCACGGTTTGTTATTATTCAATCAGCTTTCCCATTAACTATCTGGTTCTAGCAGTTTTGATAGGAAAGACTTTGGAATTTAACACACTAACCTCCCTATACTGAGGGATTAATTAGAACCAAGAGCCACCATAGCCCAGAAGGGCCAGTGGGTACATCTCCCATCCCTGTGCTATGGTGACTATGGTTCAGTTCCGCTGTACCCTTGTGCTTCTTCTCTCTGGTTCAGGTGATGTAAACACTGAAAATACAGACCTAATTCAGAATTCCAAGTCTGATTTCCCCACTTTGCTTTCCTGTAAGTAGTCTACTTATATCGCAGTTTCCATTTGCTTCACACACCAAAGTGATACAGACAGGAAATACTGGTATAAAACCATATTTAACAAAAAGTTCGTAAACAGAGATCGAGAGAGTTGTCAAAATAGAATTGAAATAATCCTTTCATTCTCTTTGAAAAGAAAATCCAGACACAGATTCACTTGCATAGACTTTAGGAGATGCGGAATTTGTCTGGGTATTGGACAGCATAGTGTAAAATAGCATCTTTTGTTATTCCTGCTTTAAGCAGCAGTACTGAATTCAAAGGAGCAGTGGCAACAAGCTAACTATTAAATATTAAGCCCCCCTCCTAGCTTTATGGTATTTATTTTAAACATTGCTCATAACTGCCTTTTTAAAGAAATACACATCTATTCTTTGAAAACAAACTAGCCATGGATACTGTATAACATGCAAGAAGCTACAAATGAACCCATATTTTGGCACAGGACTTTGAAGTGAGTGGCTAACACACCCATGGTTCTTTGTAAGTAAACTCGGGTTCAGCGGAGGATGGTGTGTCCAAAATCTGACACCACCACCGCGTAATCAGGGTGTGCCCTGACGCCTGTGTCACAGGCTGGACAGGCCCAGTAAAGGCAATTGATACAGAAAAGGCTAACATTAACACAACCAAATAAAATTTCATGGGAGTCTGATGTGATAAGTATATTGCATTTAACCCCAAATATACTTCTACTGTCAGTAGCAATATTTCCTATCTCTTTTAATAGATTCAATACTTTTGCAGTAAGAAAGGAATAGAATGGAAATGACATACAAAAATTAAATTAGAGTTTTGGGGAAATTTGCTAAGAACACAGATTCCATTCTGTGGCTGGGATGCATTATTTCCAAAGTTGAAAGATTATTAACTTTATTGTCTCCATTATTAGGGAAATTAACTGTTGCAAATGACCAAATATGTTTACCCTGATTGTAAAGGCTACGATATACATTGCTCAAAAAAAAAAAAAAATAACATACAGGTTATATAGAACCTTATAGAACTAAAATATAATTAACTACTATTATACACAATAAAGGAAGGCTTAAGAAGATATCACTAGTTGAACATAAAATGGACGAAGCTTTAATTTACTTCTAAGAACTGCCAGTGTGTCAGCCAGGGAGTCACAGAATTACCATGCAATTTCATATTAGGGACTTTGAAAACTGGTGACACAGTAAGAAAACAGGATGAATTAGCTACACAGCCAATGGCTGCTCATGAGCATATGTTAAACTGTGGCTATCCAGGCATTGAAATGGTCATTCTCACATCCCTTGGTCAGTGGCAGCGGCAACAAAGCAGATTTTATCAAAAATGAGAATTTGGCCCAATGCACTTTTGCATCCAGAAAGTCTCCCAAAGCTTAAGGGGACCTGGAGGGGCCTTTGGCTTCCATGGCAGAGAAATTCCTTTGGAAAAGGACAGCTATCTTTTTATTGCAGCTGTGAGAGGAAGCAAGCCCCACAGATCACACTCAGAGGCCGTGCAGTGCTCTCAGCGGATGGGTCAGCAGAATGCAAACCTCAGTTCTGCACAGGAACACAGACAACCCTTGCTTCAGCATAGTATTTGGAAGATTCTTCCTCTATCACTGGCAAGTAGCTGCGAGGAAGAGGGGTAGAATGAGAGAAGACAAGATTGACCACCAAGCTGGTTGAGCACAGGTCCATCCGTATTGCAAGAAGAGCTTGGTGAAGGCAACACCACATCCTCATCCACACAACAGGATGCGTCAGAATGATCTCACCTCCTTTCCCAGTGAACTAACGTAAAAGAAATGAAACATGCTTAAGCTACAGCTCTACAAATATTTCTCTATGGGTTCCCATTTCCCATAGGTAGAAATGGACTGAAGTTAGTCATATGGTCAGTATTGCCTCTCTGAAGATTCTTTTAACCTGTGGAAAACAGAAAGAAAACCTATACACATTGATTTTATACAATACTGCATTAACACGGCACTTTTAGCCACTAGGATTAATGCACTTTAAGATTTGTCCGCCTTCTATTATTAAACTTTCTGGGTAAATTAGTATCCTATTACTTGCAAGACTTAGGTTGGCCAAGAACTTTCCAATAATTCTGTCCTGAACCCAAGAACTATCTCCCAAGTACACATGAGTTCTGGTCCACAGTGCATTCCTGTAGCAGTAGATTTTATTGTGAGTCTAGCTCGCCTCTTGAATAGGTCCTATGTTTCCTAGAGATCACCTGCTTCAACACTGCACATCCTGCCCACCCAACTCTGTCCTCTACCTCCATACCCACTTGCACATTCTGGATCCAGATGCTGCACTTCTGGAAGAGTCATACAAATGGTGTCATCACAGCGGAGGAATGGCGCAGTCCTTGGATGGCAGCATAGGGCCCCTGCTGAAAGTAGTGATGGTACCTCGGCATGTGGAAGGAAGGGAAGGTAGGGCCGCTCCCCTGCATGGAGGTGGCAATGGCGGATGGGGTCAGAGGCATCCCCAGGCGGCTGTAGGGTGGCAGAGAACCCTGTATGGGGTGTGGAATGGGTGTCGCTATGGATGCTGTGCTGGTGCCAAGAGCAGTCAGGGACTGTGGGTGCTGAAATCCAGGAAAACTGGAAGAAGATGAGACCCAGGAGCTGAGTGACAAGTTGTCAGATGTTGTAAAGGCTGACCCTGTAAGAAAGAGCACTCATTAGACTGAAAATGCTATTTCAGTGTACGTGTCCAAGACCAAATCTCTTTATTTTCAAAAACATTTAACAGAACTTTAATTGAAAAAGACAAACACGCATGAGGTTTGTCGGAGGGTAAATCTACCTTTCTGGATGGGAGGATAACATTTATATCCTGCACGGAAGAAAGAATTTACTAAATGGAAAGAGATTTAACTCACTAAATGCCTACGTGTCCCCAGAGTGGCCCAGACATGGACACCTTTCCTACAAGAAATGACTTGATTCCCTTAAAAGGAGCTCCAAGCCTTTAAAATTTCTTCTCACCTCTGCCAGCACCTTCATAAGAAAATCTAGATTTTCCTTTTGTTGGTATGTTTAAGATAATAGAAGATACAGGCATAGGCAAGGACTTCCTGAACAGAACTCCAATAGCACAAGAAATGACACCCAAAATCAACAAAAAGGATGATATTAAATTTAAAAGCAGAGGAAATAATTCAAAGTGAAGAGATAGCTTACAGAATTGAAAAGAATTTTTGCTGTTTGTTCTTTTGATAAAGAACTAATATCTAGAACATATAAAGAACATATAACTCAAAAAAATTAGACCTCCCAAAAAACAAATGTCCCAATAGAAAAATGGGCAAATGAAATAAATAGACACTTTTCAAAAGGAGAACAAATGGCCAACAACTACATGAAAAAATGGTCAACATCGTTAGCCATTAGGGAAGTATAAATCAAGACAACTCTGACATTCCATCTTACACTACTAATCACGACACAGGGAAATCTAGGTGTCTAAGTCTCGACAAAGCTACCTGGTTTCCAAAGTCATTGTGAGAACCTGTAAGAGTTAAGTTTTCCTACATAGCAGCATCCAGAAATTTAAACAAGAGTGGACACTGAACTTGGATTAAGTGGTAAGAATGTCCTATGCTTTTATTGATTATGTTATTCCATATTCTGGACATAAAACAATGACAGAAGTTCTCTTGCCCTAAGAACATGGTAGTTGCCAGCGTGGGCTGCCTCTGGGCTCTTCTCTGGGCTTCTGTGCTAGGTGCAGAGGCTCCTCCCTGACACTTAGTCCTTTTCCTCCCTGAGACTTTGCAACAGAGAAATTTTGTTCAGTTCTGGCTCTTTCTTGGGGTTACTGTTTCTGTGAAGCCTTTCACTATCACAATCATCTTTTAAAGGTGTTTTCCAATTTGGTCTTTGATCTTAAGGAGACATCCCAAATTTGGTGAAACAGATACATTCCCTGATTTTCATATTATAAAGCTATTCACAAAGACTATGGAATCCCCCACCCCAAGGTGCAACAGTTCTTTGTAGTAGTAAATTCAGACAAGTACCTCCTGAGCCCTGACTCAAAATCTCAATGTTGTTTTACTAGAAAACCAGAACTTCAGGCAGCAAAATAACTTTTTTTTTTTCTGGTACTGGGAATTGAACTCACGACCTTGCGCTTGCCAGGCAGGCACTGTGCCGCTGAGCTAAATCTCCAGCCCCAAAATCACTTACAATTCAGGTAAGATAATGAAATGTGTAAAGCTCAGCACTGAGGGTGGTCACCTTCTGAAAAGCCCAGATGTCCTTTCGTGGCAGTGTGTTCCCTGGGGAACATACAGGCCTTCATTCTCCTTGGGTGCCTTACCTCGATTTGGGGTTGTCTGGCTCTCCTCCCCCAGGACATCCTCTTCTCCTCCGTAGGTGCGGATGGGAGAGCGGGCATAGGAATGCTTCTGGATCAAGCTCTCCACACTTTCCCTAGGTGACAGAGTGACATGCAGGAGCTCACTACAAAGTCAAGTTCTCAGAGACAGAGAAGGGCCTTAAGAATAATTCACTATGCAGCAAATATTTTTTCTCAGCCAAGAGGAAACCACTCCCGGGAAGAGTAACATTTAAAATTTGTCCATTCATTCTGTTGCAGTGTGACTCCTTGGACCGGACTCCAGGTGCATAAATGCAAGCACCCCCAACTAGGGAGGGTGAGAACAACTCACTGAAGCCCTCCAGAATGAAGGACCATGAGGTAAACAAGGCCACAGGAATATGGAATTTAATGCTGTGAAAAAACCCAAGTGAATGAATTTACTAAGCAGGACAGCAGTGAATCTTCTTACTGACTTCATCAGCTAATGAAGACAAAACAAAATACTCAGCCGATCTGAGCTGCATTGATTTGACATTTGACAAAATGTTGGCAAGTTCAAAATAGCATTCATAAAAAGATCCAGTGCTCACTAACAAACCAAACAAATGCATGGAAGACACAACTATCTTAGTTACTTTCCTTGCCTGTAGGAAACAATACCTAACAACTTAAAAGAAACATGGGCTCATGTTTTAGAAGGTTCAGAATGCATGGGCAGCAGCATGATAGATGGGCCGGGTTGGAGGAAAGATGCTCATGTCATGGCACCCAGGAAGCACAGATGAAGGGAAGAAGTGGGACGGGAGAGACACCCTTCCAGGACACACGCCACTGATGCACCCCTTCCAACCAGGCCTCTACCAGACCCCATCTCCTAACACCACATTTAGCTATCCCACCTCCATAATCCAGTCACCTTGGGGGGACAGCCAGTGGTAAACCAGAACAATGACAACACAGAGAGTTTGGCTACGGACACTTTTTAAACAATGGGAATAAAAAAAGGATACAAAATTTCAAAACAAGATGATAGGAAATTAATAATGGCTGTTATAATGTGTATTGTTATCTTCAAAGTAGTTGCTCAGATCACCAGATATAGGCATGCAAGGCTGATCAAACAGCTAAGCATTAACTATTCCTTTCAATAAACCCATAGAAATTAGTAGTACAATTATCTTAGTACAATAATCTTAGCTATCTTGTATATATAATATATATTTTATATTACGTTTTTATATATACATTCCCTTTCTTTTTTCTTTCTTTTCTCCTTTCCACCACCCCAGTTGTTCTTTCTTTTTGAGCAGTTTCTTTCCCTTTTACATTATCTATCATACCTTCTGGATCTTATTTAGTCTTTCAGTTTCTTACACTAGGGAGACAATACAGTGTTTACACATGCAGGTCTGATTTATTTCACTTAGGAGTATAGTCTCTAGTTGCATCCATTTACCTACAAAACCCTCAAGTTTATCTTTCTTTATAGTTGAGTAATACTCCATTGTATAAAAATACCACATCTTTTTTAATCTGTTCCTCAGTTGATGGACATTTGGGTTGTTTCCAAGATTTAACACTTTTGAGATCTATGTTGACTCAAGACCAAAAGATTGCAGAAAAACTATGAAGGAAACATAAATGGCCATTAAATTTAGGACCCCCCAAAATGAGTACATTGTCTCTGTAGAAGGATTTCCTCTTGCTACATAGTCTATGAACCAAAGAATGTGGTTAACTTTAAAAACAAAAGTTACTTTGGTATTGGGCAATTTTATCTGCTGCTACTTTTAAAAAGCCAGCAAAATGAAAATGAAATGTTATTTTTCAGACATATATCCCAGTAACAGATTATTTTACTTTTTATTAGTACAGGTTTGGAGTACATAGGTATAGTTGTGACCCATAGATCCCTGAATTAGCCACTGTAGGACAAGAAAAAGATGAAATTATTTTGGTCTTGAATGAGGAAGGACAAACTCACTATTGCACTTCATAATTAAAGAGTAAGGAAAACAAATAAAATGCTATAACTATTTTCCAAAATGTGACTCTTAACACTTCACACAGATACACACCTGTCAAAAAACACTGAGAAAGCAATCTTTTCCGTTAGGTGTAGCACTGGTCCTCTCTGTTCTATAGGGATTTTTATCAGACTGCAAAGGTTCCCTTCTGTTTCTACTTTGCTAAGAGTTTTTAATGAGGAATGGATGTTGGATTTTCAAAAATGTTTTTTCTATGTTCACTGAGATAAGAAAATGAGTTTCTTTTTTAGAAATTGTATTGATTGAACTTCAAATGATCAACTAACCTTGCATACCTGAGCTGAACCCTACTTAGCTATGATGTTATCCTTCTTTTAAAACTCAGTTTCCTTCAATGTGTAAATACAACAGCCATTGTTAATTTCCCACCATTTTGTCAGTAACTCTGTATTGCTTGTACTGTTCTTATGCTATTTTGTAAATGGATGTCTGTTTGTTAGTATGTTTTCCTTCTTTTATTTTTAAAATACACTTAAAAAATAGAAAACTCAGTTTCCTACAATTATGTTTAGAATTTTTCCATGTATATTCATAAAGGATGTTGGACTATAGCTTTCCAGTTTGTAATATGTTTCTTGAGTTTTAGTAGCAAGGTAATGTATGTCTAGTCACAGGATTGGTTTAAAAGTGTTCCCTTCTCTTCAATTCTCTAGACAAGCCTGGGGGAAGGAGTTATTTTCTTGTTTAATACAAGACACAGGGGAGGCTCTCTGGACCTGAAGTTTTCTTTTTAGACAGGTTTTCAACTGCAAATCAACAGTTATCAAATTATCCATTTCTTGTTGAATGATATTTTTGTCCTCAAGAAATTTGTGAATTTCACTTAAATTGTTGAAATTACAAGCATGTGTTCATAGCATATATTATAAAATAACATTCCTTCATTAGCTTTCCTTTTAATTTATGTAGAATCTCCTTAATTTATATACCATGCCTCTTATTCCTGATAATTGTAAATTGTGCTTCTCTTTTTTTCTTGATAAGGCTGGCTAGATGATTGTTAATTTTGTTCACCTTTTCTGCATTTGAATCCAATAATTTTTCTCTGTTGTTTTCCTGTTCCATTGCTTTCTCCTTTAATATTGTTTACTTTTTTTCCACTGACTTTGGATCTCATTTGCTCTTTCCCTCTGGTTTCTAGAGATGGAGAATGAGGTCATGACTTAAAATATTGCTTCATTTCTAAGAGAGCCCTATAACAACTATAAATTTCTCCTAAATAATGTTTTAGCAACATCCCACAAGTTTATATACTATTATTTCCATTTTCTTTAAGTTCAAAATATTTTCTACTTTCCTTCTTGATATACTCCTTGGTCTGTGGATTGTTTGCATTCACTATTTAGCTTCTAATATTTGGCAATTTTCCAGATATCTTCCTTTTATAGATTTCCAGTATAATTCCATCATCCATTGTGATCAAAGAACATATTTTGCAAGACCTACATGCTTTCTGAATATAAAGAGACCTATTTTGTGGTACAGGGTATGGTCCATAATGGGAATTGTTCTGTGTGTACTTGCAAAGATTATATCTGCTAATGCTGGGTGGAGTGTTTTCTAAATGTAAACCAGGCCAACTTGTTAAGAGTATTGTTCAAATATTCTGAATTTTCACTCATTTTCTCTTGGTTTTAGCAATTATTGAGAGATAGATGCTGAAATTTCCAACTATGATTGTATACTTGTCTCTTTTTTTGTATACTCCTGCTAGAAATGAAGATCTATTACTGGGTATATAAATCTGCAGGATCGCCTCTCCCCAATGAATGGAACTCTATTGTTATGAAATGATGTACTTTATCCCTAGTATTATTCTTTCCTGTGAAATCTAGTTTGGTATTAATATAACCATTCCAGTTTTCTTTTGATTGGTGTTAACATATTATAACTTCTTTGTATAAGGACTTCTTCTTTTCTTACTGTCAACTTGTATCTTTATATATAAAAAATGTATTTCTTGTAGGCAGTATATATTTCAGTCTTACCTTTTAATCCATACTGAAAGCCTCTGAGTTTTAATTGAGATATTTAGTGCATTTATATTTAATGTGATTACTGATATGGTAAGGCTCAAGTCCATTATCATGTTACTTGTTTCCTACTTGTCCTATCTGTTCTTTGTTGTCTTTTTTCTTTGTTTTGCTTTCTTGACAGTTAAATTTTTCTGATTTTGTTTAATCATTTTATTAGCTAAACTCTTCTGTTATTTTAGTGGATGCCTTTACATCTTTAACTTTTCACAATCTACCTTCAAGTGATATTATAACTTTCAAGACTAGCATGAGACACTCACTTACCCTCATGAAACAGAAAAACTTCACAATAATATATTTTCATTTCTTACTTCCAAACTTTGTGTCATTCTTGTCAAATATCTTAACTTACATAAATCCCATTCTACATTATTCCATTTACTTAAACAGTTAATTATCTTTTAAAAAGTTTTAAATAATACAAAAAGTTTGATCCACTTATCCATATAGCTATAATTCCGGCTGTTCTTCACTCCTTTGTGAAGTTCTGGAATGACATCTAATACTACCCCTTCCTCCTGAAGGCCTTCCAGTAGCATGATCAGCAGTTCAATTGGCTAGTGGTGAATTTCATTTTGATTGTGTTTGGAGTGATATTTTTGCTGGCTGTAGCTTTCTACGTTGACAGTTTTTCCTTCAGTTTTTTAACAACATTGACCCAGTGTCTCTTCACTTTGTTTCTGACAAGAAATCTGTTCTCCTTCTTGTCTTTGTTCCTCTTATGTAATGTATCTTTAATTTCCTGGCTGCTGCAAAGCAGCCATACACTTTCACTGGAAGACAGATAGCCTCTTTAACAAATGGTGCTGGAAAAACTAGCTTTCCACATGCCTCAGACTAAAACTAGACTCATGTTTATCACCATGCACTAAACTAAAGTCAAAATGGATCAAAGATCCATTTGAATCCACAGAAATCCATTTGATCCACAGAAACACTAAATCTACTGGAAGAGAAAATAGGTAGAAATCTTGAAGACATAGGTGTAGGCAAAGACTTCATGAACAAAACTCTGATTGCATGGGA